CCCCCCCCCCCCCCCCCCCCCCGCCGGTCTTCTTGGCAGGGGTAAAAAAATAAATAAATAGAACTATAGAAAAAGAGAGATGAAAGAAGGGAGAAAAGAAAGAAAGCACGATGAACATTTGTAAGGTATATTTGGATTACGGGTTAAAAGGGGATAACTCTAGTAAAATATGATAAAAAAAAATATATGTGGGATTCATATATCTCATGTTTGGTAAGTAAAAAATGTATTGAAAATTTCATTTGGATTTTATCTCAATCCGGTTTTAAAAATCAACTTTAATCCATGCACATATTCTCTTTGCCTTCTCTCTCTCTCTCTCTCTCTCTCTCTCTCGTGTCTGTTTCGTCTTTTCCTCCTGTTTTTTCATATATTTGATTGTTTTTTTTCAATAAATTTGTTTTGTCAAAACAAGGCTCTGCTAACATACCTCAAAAAGATCTATAAGTCTTCTTGAGCAAGATAACTAATTTAAATAATAAACTAACTTTAATAAATCAATATCCTATTTGGACTAAGATTAATTAACAACTAATCAATAGTTCTCGTAACATATGAACACCCATCTAGAAGATATGAAATTATAATACTTTTAAAAATTATATGTAAGAAAGATTTGTTTGAAATTGGTTAAAGACAAATTTATAAATCCAATATTGTGTTGGATTGGATATGTTTTGGACAAAACAACCAATGGTACCATATCTCATCACCTTTNTAATAAAAACTTGAATTAATTCTCAATAGTTCTCGCAACATATGAACACCCATCTAGAAGATATGAAATTATAATACTTTTAAAAATTATATGTAAGAATTTGTTTGAAATTGGTTAAAGACAAATTTATAAATCAAATATTGTGTTGGATTGGATATGTTTTGGACAAAACAACCAATGGTACCATATCTCATCACCTTTCTCTAAATCTCACAGAAGTACTTATGTGTTATCCAACACTGAAAATAATATGATATAATCATTCAATCCTAACCAGTCTAATGATAAGTGGGTTTAGATTGGATAAGAAATGATATTTTGTTAAATCTCCAATTCAGTCTAACCTTGTCATCCAAACACACCCGTAATTTTGCATGGGAATTATCACTGTTCCAATGTGATATTGGCGAGCACTGCTATGTTGTTCAAATCAAAACNCAAATCTCACAGAAGTACTTATGTATTATCCAACACTGAAAATAATATGATATAATCATTCAATCTTAACCAGTCTAATGATAAGTGGATTTAGATTGGATAAGAAATGATATTTTTTCAAATCTCCAATTTAGTCTAACCTTGTCATCCAAACACACCCGTAATTTTGCATGGGGATTATCACTGTTCCAATGTGATATTGGCGAGCACTGCTATGTTGTTCAAATCAAAACCCAAATCTCTTAAATCCCAAATGCATGTATACTACACATTATTTTGTGGGTCCTAAAAAATTAAATTTTTTCATTCAATGTGTGGTGCACATACAGTTGAGCAACATAATATTTCTCGATATTCGCCGAAAAACAAAAATCCATGGCTGACTACTCGGTCTTATGACACCCCAGATAGTGAATCTGGCCATTCACTTGAGATGACAACTAGTCATTTTGGGGTACTTGGTTGCCAAAACATCANTTTTTTTCATTCAATGTGTGGTGCACATACAGTTGAGCAACATAATATTTCTCGATATTCGCCGAAAGACAAAAATCCATGGCTGACTACTCGGTCTTATGACACCCCAGATAGTGAATCTTGCCATTCACTTGAGATGACAACTAGTCATTTTGGGGTACTTGGTTGCCAAAACATCAAGGCCACCTCTAAAGATGAGGATCAATCCAACAGGGGGAGAGGTAGGAGGATTAAGGGCAGATTTATAGATGCCTAAGGCGCACACACACACAAGCAGACAATTTCAACAAAGAATGGGCAAAGGAACTGACCAACAATAACTTTGAAGAGAGAGCAAGCGTCTAGAGAGTGCAGAGCAAAGGGTGGGCTGGAGATTGTACCACGCATTGAGATTATGGTGTTATGAGGCGAAGGAGAAGTAGCCAAGAGAGCTTGAGCAAATATAAATCCCACCACCAGCTCAATTTGCAATTCGACAGAGACGTTATAAGCGTTTCCTGGCAGAGCATCCATTCCACATTGACAATCAGGCCAAGTATCCTAGTGGTTTGCCCATTCTACAGGTGACAGAATAGGTCCTCCACAGTAAGTCTACTTTGATGAGATTCACCATGTCCGGCTACATTAGTTTGCAAACGGTTCAAGCAGCACTAAGAAGATCCATAGCAACAAGTTGGAAACTAAAAGCCCCTGTGCTAAGGGTATCCTGGGCCAAGAATATTCACATCATGAAGAATTTCAAATTTGTATAGAATCTAGAGATTCCAGAGGGCCATTTAGACTTACAACTCTAAAACAGGGGCAACAAATCAAGAACAATATTTTATTCAAAGTCAAAATATAGCACCAAGTCTAGGCCACACAACCAGGTGAATAAAACCATATAAACTTACCCACAATCAGGTGAATAAAACCATATGAACTTGTGAACAAGCACCCCTTCAAATTGTGATACAAGTTGAGCATAATGTGGTAGCTAATGGTTGAATGTGCAATGATCTGATGGCACATCAAATCACATGTTTCTGCAAACTTTTAAGGGCCATTCACCATGTATCTGCAATAATCGAAGTGATTATGTGGATAGATGGAAAATGTCGGCAACTGATACAGCTTGATGTTTAGCCTTGTAATTTGCGGCTTTTCTTTTCTGCAATGCCTGACTGAGTAAATCTCTGTCTAAGGACTTGTAGAACCTCTTCTACTTTTACGCTTTTGAGAGCTAACAAAACCATGGCATGGTAGAGCACATCTCCCATCTCCGAGGCAGTCCGTGATTTGTCCTCATTCTCCTCCAGCGTTCGGCATAACTCATCAGCCTCTTCCCTGAAAGAAAGATGTCAGACAAATCCTACATTATAAAAGAGGGGATGGCATTTTTCGTCCCCTTACTGTTCACAGTCACTATGGCCCCACAATAAGGTCCAAGGTAAATAATCCCAGCTTCACCGTGATTTATTGGCTTAGCTTGGCTCACCTAAGTAGGCCATTGTAACGACTTTCACAAAAGAGAACTTTATTTAGCCATGACCTATTTTATTGTAAGCCAACTCTTCTCCCTTTCTTTGTGGATCTGATGTGGGACTCCCTTCATCCAACATCTTTTATGTAGCTACATTGCTTCACTTTTACTTCCATTGTGGCGATGGTGGATTTCTTGCAAACAGGAAGATTAAAGATTCTCGACTACATAATATAAAATAATCTTGGTCATTTATGCAATGTCTAGAGTAGGGGTGGCAATTGAGTCATGTTGGGTCATGGTTAAATTGTGCAATTTCGTATTTGTGTCCAATATTAATCAATTTTAACCTAATACATTTAATTAATTGGGCTAGAAGTCCTACATTCTGGAAAAAGAATTTGGGTAGATGTCATGGCCATAATTCGACCTGGTTATTATTTGTCTTGTTTGAATTAACCTGTATAACTCGTAAATTAAAATCCAATACTAAAATCTCATTATTTTTCCAGCAAACACATGCTGATAAATTTTCATTGAGGTCCATATAATAGAAAAAATAAGTAAAAAAAATCCTCTCGTTTACAACAATTCATGTCAATACTTGACAAAAATGACAAAATTCAGTCATTTACTCATAATACTAATTAAAGAGGTTTGTTGTGTTATATTCGACTTATTCATCTTTGACATTAACATGATCCTATTATAATTTCATGTTAGAAGGCTGAGTTGTTTTCGAATTCTTGTTAAGAAATAGTCAACCTCAACCTTCTAATTATATCGCGGTTTCGAGTCAAATTAACGTGTTGCGATACCATAAGTGTCACCCTAAGCATGAATCATATGGGTATTATATATGAATGTGAATATGAACTCAATTTGTTCGGTGTGTCTAATGAGTAGACAATGTTCAAGCTCGACTCGTTCATTGAACGAGCTCCATATCTGTGCTCAAACTTGATAGGCTTGTGCGACTAGGGGTAGCACCTAGACAAGTCAAATACCAGAGGGGCTCCGAGGATCGACCTTTAGATACTTAAGTCAGAAAGAGAACTAAAGAAGAAAGAATTCAACTTGAATTTTGTTTACTTACCTAGTTGATCCCTATTAATCCCCTTTTATAGGTCATTTTGTTAGGCCGTTGCAGGATTCTTATCCATCGTTTGAATTGAGGTGGTTCCAATAATAAGGTAGAGCTAGACTCCTCACTGGGGTGAAAGTCTTTAGCTGAGTTGAACTAGTCAAAGCCGTGTGCAAGTAGGACTTCAATCATGCTCGAGAGGCAAGCTGGCCATCGTGGGAGCTAGCAAACTACAGTTCAGCCGAGCTCGTGCCAAAACTCCCGTTATTAGTTGCCCCGCGGTTTAACTCAGCGTAGCTTGGCACGTATTCCCTTATTTAATGCATTTGTCCGTTCATGCCTTGAGAAACGGAACATGAGGCGTGCGGATGTAACCGCCAAATNCGCCAAAACTCCCATTATTAGTTGCCCCCTCGGTTTAACTCAGCGTAGCTTGGCACGTATTCCCTTATTTAATGCATTTGTCCGTTCATGCCTTGAGAAACGGAACATGAGGCGTGCGGATGTAACCGCCAAATATCTGTTATGGAGCCCAGTATTTAAACAAGTCTCTTCCATCATCTTCGGCACTTTTGCAAGAATTGAAGAAGCTCTGCTACGCCTTATCTTCTCCGCCTTGATCTTTCTTCTTCATCTTGATCTTCTTTGCTAAACCTTTTCAAACTGGAGCGCATTAGGTGGAGCCACATGTTTCAATTTCATTTAATTGCTTTTGCTTCTTAGGGTCATACTCTTGATTCCTTAGGTTTCTTCGTAGATTAATCCAATAGAGTCCGACTTGAATTGGTCCTTGAATCTTGTCTTTCTTTATTGATCAAAGCCCTAGTAATCTTCCTCCTCCCAATATGTACGTTAATCATCGTAGTTTCATCGTCATGGCTAGGGATTCAAATAAGACCAACTCCGAAACCACCCCAGTGCTGGTGTCTGAAGTTGACAAGACTAATGAAGACTCCGATTCAAGATTCAAAATCTCTTCTTCTTCAATAAAGGTTGTGGGATTAAAGTTCTTCCATAGCACTCTTGATGAGTACCCCCTTAGAGAAATTAGGACCCTATATCAAATTCTCAAGTCGGTCCACCTCAGGCTTCCTTCTCCAAATGAGACCGCCAATTCGTATGGCCATAACGAGGTGTGCTTCAGCGAGTCTATCCTTGAGGTCGGTCTCTATTTTCCCTTGCCCAAATACATTGGAGAGGCTCTCCAATATTTGAATTTAGCCCCTTGGTAGTTGACCCCCAATAGTTTCGGTTTCTTGGTTAGTATAGGAGTCCTCTAGGCTAGGGCAAATGACATCGGTGTTCAACCTACCATCACCTAGTTTTTCCACTGCTACAAACTCAACCCTTGTTAGGAGCAAAGTTTGGGGTGGTCTTACCTTTCCAAACAAGAAGGAAGCGAGCTCCTAACAGGTTATTCTTTNTGACTTGAATTGGTCCTTGAATCTTGTCTTTCTTTATTGATCAAAGCCCTAGTAATCTTCCTCCTCCCAATATGTATGTTAATCATCGTAGTTTCATCGTCATGGCTAGGGATTCAAATAAGACCAACTCCGAAACCACCCCAGTGCTGGTGTCTGAAGTTGACAAGACTAATGAAGACTCCGATTCAAGATTCAAAATCTCTTCTTCTTCAATAAAGGTTGTGGGATTAAAGTTCTTCCATAGCACTCTTGATGAGTACCCCCTTAGAGAAATTAGGACCCTATATCAAATTCTCAAGTCGGTCCACCTCAGGCTTCCTTCTCCAAATGAGACCGCCAATTCGTATGGCCATAACGAGGTGTGCTTCAGCGAGTCTATCCTTGAGGTCGGTCTCTATTTTCCCTTGCCCAAATACATTGGAGAGGCTCTCCAATATTTGAATTTAGCCCCTTGGTAGTTGACCCCCAATAGTTTCGGTTTCTTGGTTAGTATAGGAGTCCTCTAGGCTAGGGCAAATGACATCGGTGTTCAACCTACCATCACCTAGTTTTTCCACTGCTACAAACTCAACCCTTGTTAGGAGCAAAGTTTGGGGTGGTCTTACCTTTCCAAACAAGAAGGAAGCGAGCTCCTAACAGGTTATTCTTTAAATGTAAAAGAAGGGAAGGATAATTTTTTTTTTTTGTNTTTACCTTTCCAAACAAGAAGGAAGCGAGCTCCTAACAGGATATTCTTTAAATGTAAAAGAAGGGAAGGATAATTTTTTTTTTTTGTGGTGGATCGAGCTGGGAAATAGGTCCTTTAGAACCCCCTTGCAAGCCCTTTCTTAGTTAACTGAATTGATTTTGGGGATCTCCCCTCCTTCTCTTTGTAAGTGGCATATTTTTGGCTTGCTTGGTTGCTTCACTTGTCCTTACTAAATCCTTGCTTCTTGATGCTAGACAAGTTTTTTTTTTTTTTAATACCTANGGAATTTTGTTTACTTACCTAGTTGATCCCTATTAATCCCCTTTTATAGGTCATTTTGTTAGGCCGTCGCAGGATTCTTATCCATCGTTTGAATTGAGGTGGTTCCAATAATAAGGTAGAGCTAGNTGAATTTTGTTTACTTACCTAGTTGATCCCTATTAATCCCCTTTTATAGGTCATTTTGTTAGGCCGTTGCAGGATTCTTATCCATCGTTTGAATTGAGGTGGTTCCAATAATAAGGTAGAGCTAGNTTTTGGTCTTAATCTATGTCATAGATGAAAGTTCTTCAAGAGTAGAAAAGTCTAAAGAAGACTGTTTAACTGGAACCTTTTTTAACCTATGATGAAAATATACTTAATCATTCCAATGATTTTGAATGTTTTGATTCAGATCGAATAACGGATCAGATGTTTATGTAAATAGCAAAATCCAATTATGTTAAATATAACGTGATATTGATTAGGATTTGAACTTAGATAAGCATTAAAAGAATATCAATCCACATCCAATTGACAATTCTAATCAATGCTATTCCAAACATGCCCTCTATTTGTGAAAGACTTTTTTTGATTCCATTGAACATTCTTCCTCTCTCTTTTTGTGTTGTCATTAACATATCCAGGTATTATAGGTAACGATGACTATAAATTTAAATTCTCATATACTTAATTTCAGTATTTATTCATTGATTTTTGACCTTTATGAAAGAATATATTTGTACCTTATAAAGAGTCAAGGGCCTAAAGAATATTTGTTGTGAAAACATATGTAATTATTTTGCATGATTTTTTAGTACCAAATTTCAAACACAATATTTCAATACTAATTTTGTGATTGATTTAGACTCAAATGGTTGATATTGTATTGTCCGAGTACCGATAGTGTAATATTGCAATTTGTAACTTGATTGTTTCATTATCAATCGAGATAATTTGTTACTATTCCAATTATTAAAAGAATATTAAGAGAGCTTAGGGTATGTTTTGAAGCAAATTAAAAGAATAATTGACACGAGACTACTTTTTTGAAGCTATAGAATTTTTTTGTACAAGAAACCCAAAAAATGAAAAATTATCTTCAGTAGAAGTAGATGTAAAACTTAATATTTTACTCTTGTTATTAATAGAATAACATCAAGTAAAAGAAATTCATATGCTTAAACTTACTATCTTACTATTTTGGAACCAACAGTCATAATCTAATAATATTATACTTTTTTAGTTGTTTCAGCTTGTTTGCTCTTTATTGAATAATTAGTTTAAAAGAACACTCACATTAGCATAAAAAATTTCACTTCATCATAAAAAATAGAATCTAATTACTTCAATTGTATTGATATAAAGATAAAGTTGGATTTTTTCCCCATGTTACACTCCCACTAAGCAATTTAGTAGTTGTCCAAAGTACATATTCACATGAGAACACACACACATAGATACATGCACACACAAACACACACGCGCATACCAAGCAGAAGCCTGAACATGGGATGGTGGACTAAAAACTACATTGTCCCAGATATTCAAAAAAAAAAGTCAGAATCACAATACCGGATTTTTGAGCACAACAACTTTTTATCCAGCAATAACTGTTTTGTCCATGAGGGTTTCACATTTTGGGATCCTGATGTTTCAGCTTTACGTAGCGAAATTGTGGATTCTAATGAATACAAAGTTGTCAGTGCAACCTTATTTTCTTCAACCTACACAAAAAACATTATCATAGACCAATAGCCAATTTTAAGCAAAAGAGGAAAGAAAATAGCTTGATAAAAAAAAGATGAAACTGAAAAAAAAGAGCAGGGAAGGCAAAGATTGGAAACCTGTGAAGAATTCAAAGTATCAAAGACTGATGTGTAATAGCAAGTCTCAGATCCAGTGTGACAAGTGGGACCATCAGGATTACCTAGGTATATTACCTGATAAATAGTTTCAAATCAAACACAAATTAAAATAGTAAAAACAAAGTATTCATGTTCATAGATCTTCACTTAAAATTGTCGAAACTTACAGAATCGCGATCACAATCAAGAAAGATGTCATGAACATTGATGAAATTCATAGAGGTTTCCCCCTTTGTCCATAACATTGACCTTGACCTGCTATAGAAAGTTGCTTTCCGGGAGGAAATTGTGGTCGCAAGTGCATCCCTGTTAACAAAGCCTTGCATTAAGATAGCTCCTGTGTCAACATTTTGAGCAATTGCCACCGCCAAGCCTTTGTCATCCCATTTCACACTATCCAACAATGTATCAACCTGTAATGTACCATGTTAGATAGTTAACTTCCTACATATGGAAAGATGACTTCTTTTCTTTGAGGATGGTGATTTCTGGGAAAACAGTTTCTAAAAATTAAAGTGCTTTTGTTATGGGGAGAACNATAGATAGTTAACTTCCTACATATGGAAAGATGACTTCTTTTCTTTGAGGAGGGTGATTTCTGGGAAAACAGTTTCTAAAAATTAAAGTGCTTTTGTTATGGGGAGAACAAATTTTGGATACTGCCTTGGTGGCTAATGAAGTGGTTGAGGAGTTTAGAATGAAAGGCAAGGGGTGGAGTTTAAAATTGATTTTGAAAAGGCATATGATCACTTGGATTGAAGTTTTTTATATTTTGTGTTAGAAGTCAAAAGTTTTGGGAATAGGTGGAGAAAATGGATTAAGGAATGCTTATCTATGAATTTTTTGGTGATTTTAATGCATCTAGGAGATTGAGGCGGGAGACCCTCTTTCCCCTTTTCTTTTTACATTAGTGGTGGTGGGCTGACAAGATTGGTGGATAGGGGTGTGGAGTACAATCTAGTGGAAGGATTCATTGCGAGTAATGATAGGATTAATGTTTCTCACCTTTATCTTGCAGATGATACCATATTTTCTTGACAGTGGATAAGAATAAATTTCAGAATTTGGTTGGAATTGTGAGGATTTTTAGCTTAATTTCAAGGTTGAAGGTTAATATGTCTAAGAGCTTTATCATGGGTATTAATGTTGATAGTAGTGAGATTGAGAATTGGGCAAAGAGATTAGGTTGTGAAGTGAGTGAATGACCATTAAAATATTTGGGGCTTCCTTTGGGAGGCAATCGTTTGTCCCTCAATTTTTGAAATTCAGTTGTTAAGCAAGTGCAAAAACGATTCGATGAATGGAAGAAAAATTATTTGTCTAGGGGTGGGAGACGACTTTGATCCAAGCGGTATTGAGTAGTATTCCTACTTATTTTATGTTTATTTTTAAGATTCTAAAAAATGTGGTTAAATTTTTTGAGAAATTGATAAGAGATTTTTTATGCGAAGGTAGTGGAAAAGGGAAGAAAGATCATCTTGTTATGTGAGNTGTAAGGTTTAGACATCGCTAAAATAATAATCAAATGCACATTATTCATCAATGATGGAAACTTTAGAGCAAGACTAATGTGATAAATATGAACACCTTGATCGTCTTTTTTCTCCGTCGAGCTTGCTAAGCATAGAAAGTGGACAAAACAAATAGGTCGAGATTTAAGGTCCAGATGTGGGCAAAATAAATCAAATGCCTATTATTGGCCAATGATGGGCACTTGCGAGCAAGACTCATGGTATAAATGTGAAGCTCATCTCCCGTCTTTCCTCTCCGTCAAGCATATTGAGCTTAGATGATTTATCCCAACAAGAAAGAAAAGAAGAACAAGAAAAAATTGCATCCACAACTCCTATATGTAGATATAACTTCAAGGAAACTTCTTGCAATATTTGACACGTTTTTGTTAGGATTTGTCAATTAATAGAAGTAACGAGGCAACTTGCTTTACTCAATTTCCCATGAGTTATATGTATAAATACATCAGTCAGATGGTGAGAGATAGCCCCTCCCTCCCCTAACAACCTCTTTTACTGCCACTACCCCTTCAAACCTTCATCTCTACATTCCCTCCTCTGCACCCACCCGCAACCCCTATTGAACTATACACATCACCTTCACCACAATCATATCAACACAAAACCCACTATCATAACCTCTTTTCTCGTGGTGTCAAATGACAAGATGATCTGTGCCGCCACTATGTTTTGCGAGTTCCTTTTTGACAATAATGGTCTCTCTCAAATTCCATTGCTCAATCCTATTATGATTAAAGTTGTACAACCCAACCACCACAAGGATTATTTTGGGGTTTATCAGTTGATTGAGATTCTGGTTACGATCAAAAGGTTTGAACTCTCTTTTGTTTATTGAATCATGAATGAAGTGAAAGTGAGTGGTAGGATAGTGGTGCCATTGATTGGGTTCTTAGGGAGGTGATGGTGATGGAGTGATTGGGTGCTTATCGTGTGGTAGTGTGCAAGAAATGGTGGCAGTGTGGTCTTTGCAAGTTGGACTGAACAAGAGAGAGAGGGAAGAGAAGGGCAGTCTATTATATAGAAAAGAAAACAAAAAGGAAGGGAGGGAGGGAGGGAGGGAGGGAG